CTCATTCGTTTTTGATCGCTATCGAATACAACAATAGGCGGGATTTTCTCCTTATTACTTGCCTGTTTTGTTGTTTTTGCATTTGATGCTGATTCAATTGGGCTCGTTTGTGTATTATGCGTTGTGTTTACAATTGGATGTTTTTTTGGTGTGATTTTTTCTTGCGGTGCAGTTTTATTCGATTCCTCAAGATATTGCATTTCATCATCGGTGAAATCTGAAAATTCATCATTTGCTGTTTTTGCGGTGGGGTTCATGTTATGATTTTCTCTTCGTCGTTTTTTATGCGGACGTTCGCTCCGTTCGCCATTCAATTTTTTCAGCTCTTCTTTGAGTCGTGCATTTTCTTCTTGTTGTTCAGCAAGTAGCTTGGTGAGATTGTTCACTTGTTCAATTAATTTGTCGATTTTTTGGTTAAGATCCACCTCATTTAGGTTTTTGCTTCTGACTGATGTAGCATTTTGCACGATGATCTCGTTCATGCCTTCATCGATGTTATGTTGTTGTTGGATACCGGTTGTAGCCAAAAATTTGACATAGTTTTCGGCGCATTTTTTTGCCAGTTCCTCTTTCAAGTAGAATTTGACTTCATGGCTGTTTTTTGTTTTGCTGTTGCATTCAAAAAGGAAGTGCACAACAAAATCTGTCTCGTCGTTGTACGCGTTCACTTCAATTATCGTTTTCTTTGGGATTTGCAGATATGCTTTGAATGTGTCGTCGTTGTTTATATCACGTTTAAATTCGGTAATACAAATATCACGGTGTACGTAAGATAAATTGTGGCAGAATTTTTGGAATTCCCCCGTATTCACTATTTTTGATGAAACATCTTCGTCACGGATGTTTATAAAGTGTCTGTTTGTGTTTGTTTCTCCGTCACTATCACCCATCTTGGCAAAGATACCGATCGAATTCAAACTGAAAAGTGATTGTTCACACTTTGCTAATTCAGCAGAAAAAAAAAAGAGATTCAGAGAGAGCGTGTGGTGAACACGTCTATCTCTGACCGAAGACCGAATCGAACTGCGGAAAAGATCATCTTACGTATGTATCACATTTTATTTTTTGTAC